AATAAGAGGCAGCACCTCCGGCTCCTAATCAATTAGAGGTAAGGAGGGAAGGGACATTTGATAGGTCTCCTCAGGGCTCCGCTCCCAATCTTAACTGGCTCTGAATGTGTCCCTAGCACTCATTGAAATAAATCAAAATATCCTACCCATCTCAAATGTTCCTGTGTACTTGTGAACCGGTATTTGTTGACATATTTGTTTTAATTTCAGAAAGGTGACTTATACATGACACTGGTGACCCTTTTGGTCATCGATGAATTCTTTTGATGAGTGTACACAGGTGTACATGTACAGGTTCTGTTTGAGTTTAGGGAGATAAGCCCTCTCCCTATCTTCAACAAGTGCACAGATATTTTGATGCAGATTACCCAATTTCTCCCATTTTTGTCTGGAATATTTGTGATTAGATTCTTGACAAAAGTCTATGCATCCTTCACTTATATATGTTTCATTCATTACAGTAGCATGATTGTGATTCTCCCAATACCTGCTCAACATTGTTTCATTGCTGTCTTTAGTATATGCAGTCAGAGTTGAATACTTCCCGTTACAGCAGTGTCTCATTGCCTGAGCCTAAGGGCTTTCCTCTCATTGTCCATGCTTCTTCTTTCTCAAATCGCACTCTGCGCTTCAGTCATAAATGTCAGTCCGCTCTGCTTTCTCCCCTTTCCTCCTCTAATGTTCGGTAATTTCTGCCGTTTTCCATTCCCTAAATTGACTGGATGATGACACACTTGCTGCTAATTTGCTCTCGTGGGTATGCTAGTGACAGCTACATGCAGTCATTTCATCTGAGCTGCAGTCCAGAAACACTGCCTGAGCTTTAAAATGCTAATTTTATCAAGTTTCTCCTAAAGTGTATTAATCATTGGAGAAATGCTACTGTAATTTATTTTGACTGCCAAGTCTTAAATTTCTAATAAATATCTGGTGAAGATCTGACTTCAAGTATATATTTTATAAACGTTGAAAACATATAAGAAGATTCACAATATTCATGATTCCTGATTTCAACTGATAATGTCTTGGCTGTGATTTACATTATTTTACACATATTTCTCTGGTCATGCTGGTGGAACAAATAGTACACTGAAGGGTTACATGTACATGTACGTTCCCCAAGTATGAATGTAAGAGATACTTATCTCTAGAATAATTTACTTCTCAAGATTCCTGTGATGTCACATGAATTTCATTGAAGTTACGGGTAGTCCTTTAGGGAATACAGAAGGTTCAACGATCGTAGAAAGGTTTCAGTCAAGTTGCATGTAGCTGAAATTTAAAGGTTTGTCAAACTGAAGCATGAAAGCAGTGTTGAATGAGCACCGTACTTTGACTGAGAATGAATGTGAATGTCTGAACTCGCAGTTTGACACAGCTACATATAAAAGAAATTTACATCTATGATTGGAAACAGATAACAAACTTTTTTCATTACAAAGATCCCTACCCATAATCCCTACCCATGATCAAACCAAAGTTCCTGGACAACACAGTCCATTATTCCAGTACCGGTACTTGGCTAACTCGAAAAAAGAGTCAATGACAAGGACTGTTGTACATGTAATAATGACAAAGCTCTTAGTAGCCAGTGCTAATTGCAATTTATGTATAGGTTATTTATAATGCAATACATCTTGTGATTTACAATGTATATGTAAAAGCAGTTTCTTTGGTCAAATTGCACTTTTGACCATCATGTGGTTGTAGTCCATTATGCCCATGTATCCATCACAGTCGATAGAACAGATTGGGGAATAAAAGCCCATCTAGTCCCGAATGATTCACGCTTACGTTCATCGATTGTGCAGTAATGAGGAGCGTAATAAGTGTATCTCATGAGGCAGGAACAGCCTCAGAGTTTGTCGATTTTCCACTGTATAAATCAGTGGTGTGCACTGCATGGCAATGTAACATAAAACAACCACAGCAGGAAATGTATACACAAGAAAGTCTCTTGGGAGTGACGGTAGTAGGCATTGAATCATGCATGAACACTTGATGATGTGTGGACATGGTGCCAATATGCATCCTATTCTTGCTTCTCAAGATGGGGAAGCGGCTAGCCTGCTGGGTCATCTTACTGGCTCTTTCTTGTTCCTCATTGCTGTGTCTTGAGGGGCTCCATTGAGATCTGACCCAAGATGTTCTTTTTACCTGTGAGGTGTTGACACAACAGAGCTGCTAGACCATTAAATGGGATGAGCAAAGTTTCTCTACACACTTCGGGAAGATTCCTGTTTTTCAAGCAAATTGATGGGATTAATGCAAAGTACTAAAACAAATGTGAACTTAACCTGTGGCTAGTTGCAAAATCCGTTTATTGTCTGAGAGTTAGAAAATCTAGCTTAGCTTACTAACCTGAAACATGTCAGCAACAGAGTTGTAACGAGTCACTAATTTTTGTGACTCGAGTCGTGTCGAGTCATTTTAAAGAAGTGACTCGAGTCAAGTCGAGTCATTAGGTCAAGAAGGTCGAGTCGAGTCGAGTCGAGTCACAGTGTGTAGTCGAGTCGAGTCGAGTCAAGTATTTAGCTCGAGTCAATTCGAGTCACAAATATTTGAACACTATACAATAAATAAACACAAGAGAGAAAGTCTTTTGGGGCTTTTTTAATTTTACATTCGGGCTACTACATGTGGTGACACCACATTTGACTCAATGAAAATAAAACGGGGGTGCCAGCTGATCGCCATTCAACTAATGGGGACACTGATCAAATCACGTATGATGTACATTATTCGTGAAAATTCTATCGTCACGTGAACAAAAACCAGCACTGGCGCAAGTAATGCAAATATTTTTCGCAAAGTTTGCTTTTATTTTTGGGACTCAAGTCTTATTAGCCTTCCTCGAGTCGAGTCGAGTCATTCTGATGAGGGACTCGAGTCGAGTCGAGTCATTTGCTCGTAGTGACTCGAGTCGAGTCGAGTCATTTGCCCTTAAGGACTCGAGTCGAGTCGAGTCACCAAAAATTGTGACTCGAGTTGGACTCGAGTCGAGTCATTGACTCGAGTCATTACAACTCTGGTCAACAAACACACAAAATCTTCCACATGTGTTTCCATTGATGTCTGCAAGGACGTACAGTTGTTAGGTCATGTTTTCTGGTTAGCATCTCTATGAAATGAACTTTTAGTTTGCCTTGTATGACTGGCATTTATGTACCTGAAGATGGGAAAAGACTGAACATATCTTGTCAGATTGGCACATCTTTACAGGACTTGTTTAACATTAAACATGTTGCCTGGCATTTGAAGCCATGAGGTCATCGGCAACAATCCCATCTTTGCCGTATCGGCAAGTACCAGTAGAAGACTTGATCAATCTTTTTATCATCACTTGAATAACCCTCAATCGGAATCCTTCACACTTGGCTAGGCAGGTGCTGATGGAAAGTTTCCAATAATCTTTGGCCACAGCATGCTTCAGGATCCTAACACACAGTCCATGTCTCTTTGTGGTTTGTGGTACCTCCTTGTGGCTTGGGAGCTCTTACAGCAAAGCTTTTTTTAGCTTGCATTTTGGATGCAATATGCATCAAACTCAAGTCCAAGAAGGCTTGTTTTTTTTTGTCTTACTTTGGATCCAATCCATTTGAATCCGTCCATTTGAATTATAGAAGATGACAGTGTTTGCTTTCACTGTCCTAGCATTGATTTTGTCCTTTCTGGTTTCTGTCCGTCTGCAAGTATTGGCTGATTCACTGTATTGCTGTTGAGTCTTTGAAGCTCGGCTTCCGTTAGCCGGTCCCCTGTCGGTTTGACCGGCCCCTAATTGAATTGCTCGCTTCTCTTCTCTCGTGTCTTCTCCTCACTTTCTCTATTGTTTTAGGTTAAGTAAACCTTAGGTCACAGATGTGGGTTCCTCCAGGAATGTTTGTGTCAGGCTTTTACTAGGAAGCTTCTGAAAATGAACATTCAGTGACTGAGCAATACACCTCTGAATTCCCATGTTCTTTGCATTAACTTCAAACGACATGTGTATGTACTGTGCTACATTTAGAAATGTGAATTTGTTGTGCTGGGATATGAGTGAATCATTTGTGCCTTAATTTTGACCGATTTAAATCAATCCATGCCAGCCACTCAGCAGTACTTAAACGCACCATATCAACATGTATAATACTGTCAGTCAAGGAATGGTACCTTCAGTTGACAAAATTACCACAGCCTGTCAATTGTACCAATATGAGTCCAATTTTCAAAACTGTTAAAAGCTGTCACCTAATAGATATTGACAGATAGGGTATCTCTCTCTTTTTTGTTACTGAGAGAGGGAGGACACTATATGGTGGTGCAATAAAAAGGAAAGCCACTTTTGACAGCAGTTTTCACCTACTTGTTGAGCATATTTCAAAAATTCAATTTAATGGTATTAAAATATTGATCTTTAAACGTAAGTGACAAAAAAATGATTGCAAATGCATATTTTTGTTCTCTGAGATATGGTAGTTTAAAAATTTCATGTGCCAAACATGTTTGTCCACGGACGGCTTTATTCTATCCGATTAACTGAACTCAGGAGCTTGATTTGAAGACAAAAATACTACACTAGACTTACACATGGACAACATTGATTTTGGTGATTTGTATTCAAAGAAGCATAATAATACTATTCTTGCGATTTTTTAAAGATTTTTTATTATAATGTACTACATTATAAAAAACAGTTCAAATATAAAGTTAAGTAAGTACCGGTATGTAAAATTTCCTGTCAAAAGTGGGTTTCCTTCTTTTTGCACCACCCTGTAGTATCTTGTGAAGTCACTTACATACATGTTAAAAGCTCACCACAGCTTGCTCGTTTGAAAGGGTTCCTTCTTTAGATCAATGAATGTTGACAAACAAAACAATAAAACTACGAAAGAGAGAACTTTGCCATGCCACATCAGAGGTCTCCGCTAATACCATTTCCTGTTTACATGTACTATGCTATTGAACCATTCAATCTAATTTGTGCTGTTTACTCTCTCTTTGTTCTTTTCTTTTTGCATTAGTTGAGTCAGTATGTCGGAGCCTTCCAATGACCTACATTGAGAAGATGTTGAGTTTTTTAGCAACTCAACTTGAGTCATCAGCTCATCTTGAGTTCTATCTGACTTGGTCTGAGTGTCTCTTAACCCTTCACTGTCCAAGTTTCCAGACTCAGTCTAGCTCTACCCAAGCATTGCTGAGATCACTGCAGAAAAGCCTGACTAGAAAGTTCCAAGATCTGGGCAAAATGTAAGTTCTCTCTGATTTCTTATGTTATAAAATGAATTCCAATTCATGTGTTTGATATGAGTAGGTACAGTTGCCACCTGCATTTACTGATGACAACCTTGACCAGCATGGTGGTGAGTGGCTAAGACATCTGCACTTACAAACAAGAGGACTTAGGTTCCAGTCCTACTACCTGAATTGTGAACCTCCCCCCCCCCCCCAACTCACTTACATGTATACATCACTAAAAAGCAAATTCTTGGTTTTGGTGCCTAACTAAACTTTGGCAGAACTCATTTATAAGTTGGTAAGTAATCTGCTACCTCAACAGGTTGTAATGTAATTCATACATGTACATATATGTGCACATTCTCCACAATTTTTTATTTTTTTCTATAATCTATTCCGATTCAGAGTCAAAGTGTGTGCCTAACAAGGAAATTTGATTACCACATTTCTCATGGCATATTACATGTATCGTATAAACAAGCTGCTGAGATATTGTATGGTAAATGTTGTCTGCCTCTACTGGCAAATCGTGCTTAAACTAATTACACGGAGCTGAGCGCGATCAAAGCATGTGATAGAGAGTAGTAGTAGGTGTGTAGACCATGTATGTACAGAAACAGCACCTGCTTGCCTAAGGGATATACACCCATGCCACTTTGCACCCCCTCGCATCGTTACATCATTGATTATCCATGTACAATCTTCCGAGCCCTGGAGCATCATGGGAATGACAGCTGTTTGCTGTTGGTTACCGGGTAAGCGTATACCAGTTTGTGAAAGGATGCCCGCGGGTGCATCTTGAAAGATGCCTGGTACCGTGGAAACGTCACACAGTTACCGTGCCGTCTAGTCAATAATCGGCCTCCTCCTTCCATTATGTGTTTGCATGAAGTGATTGTAACTGTGTTTGATTGCTGCATGTCAGTCTTAAAAGTTTTGAAATGGGTGTGCCTCAAAGATAGTTTTGCTTAATTGCCATCCTCCTATTTCTATTCCCCAAATGATGTGGCTGCAGAATTCATAGGAACAATTTGGTGACAAGCATGCAAAGATGAAGCTTTTTATTTTTTCTGTTGTGCATACTTGTACGTGTACTGCAGTCATGTTAATGTTGTCCAACGTTTTCAACTGTTAGCTGTCAAATCTCCGGGTCTGGATAACCCTTGCGTAAATGAAAAGAAAATGTCCATCCCTTGAACTTGTCACTTGATTCGTTTGTGGCACTCAAAATCCTGGCTAACTAATAATAGAACAGCTGAAGTGACCATAATTTGTGCTGAGTTGTGACATTGGAGCTGCAGAAGGATGAATACATGCGGCATGTGTGGCGCTCCTTGTTATGAAACATTATGGCCAAGTGTGTTGTGATACTTTGTAAAGAGCTTTGAAATGATAAAAGTGTGACTAGAATTTATAACAATAATGTGTGACACTAGGAATGTAATAGATACAAAATTCTTTCTCACCCAAACATGCAGGTCTACAGGTTTATGCAGGAGTTAAAATGAGATTGTTAAAACAAGGCTATATTTTAAAACTCATTTGGCGTGATTCAGTATTAAACTGGCAAACATCTTCCTCCCCCACTACACAAGGAGTCAGGACAAAGCCATAACCAATCCATTTATCATAAAAATAAACGAGAAACGTGAACAGGAAACATTGCATTTAATCCATTTTTGTTTTGTGAATATTGATTTTCATTTAGGTGTGAAACATTTGGGAAGTGAAAATCTTTTAGAAATGATTGAATATTGGTCATTAACTAAATACTCATTGTTATTGGTTTCTGTTGATACACAAAGCATGTATTACTATTTTTGGATATAGACCTAAGTAAAAATGTTTACTTCTGCAAAACAACATCCTATAGAACTGACTATGGTTTAGGATTGCTAATCAAGCAGACAGTCTGCCTGTAATGCAACCCTGCCATATCATGCTATTCTTTGTGTCACTAACTCGCCTTCTTACCAACCAAAGTGCATAACTACCTCCGTTCCAGACCTCCGTTGCATTGCCATAACATTTCCTTTCACTAGGAATATGATTGTAGTATAATTTGATATGACTCTCGTCCCGATGGCACAATACACCTGCAGTGTGAGGTGGATCAGGTTCGTCAGCTTTCTAAGACATCGCCAACCTTTTCTAAGGTGTCCATAAAGAAAGTGCATTCCCTCTGATTATGAGTCAGTTGTTGGCTCTAATAGGATCCGTTCTGCTTGACTTGGGAGCAGTGTGTTAGTGTGGGCGTTTTCTTAGCTCTGCTTCTGTCTTAATTATGAATAATCCTCAGTAGGGTTCCTAGTGTAGACGTTACTTCATGAGAGTCAATGATCTTCCACGTCACACTTTGCTGAGATAGCATGGTCACTCGTGTTTGGAAATCACAGCTTTGTTAAACAAACAATAAAAAGGATATTTTTATTTTGACTACATGTGGCCAATATGCTAAGTTTTGAATTACCTTGTGGTAATTTCAAAGTTAAGCTGAAAATTCAGTTTTTTGTAATATATTTAATCCATATTAGGAAAAGGATATCCTCAAACTCAATGCATTTTTCTTTAGGTACATTCCACTACCAGCATAAACTACGCATGTACATGTATACATTGTCCACCTTAACTTTCCTGAGCACCCAGAGCTAAAAGATGGTATTAAAAGAAGAGATAATCTCTGGATGACTCAGGTATGAAATGGACTGCCATCACATGCCTGTCATTCATAACACTCTGGCTAACCTACCCAGAGAACAACAGGTTTCAAGTGACATATCTCTGCAGGTGATTTGCTTTCACTCGCAGAGAAATGTGACGGAGGATTTAATATCTTGAGGATATGAGGCTGCAGGATCAAAATCAATACGAGGGATTGGCTGGGTTTATAAGGAATGGATTCTACTGATCTATGAGTATTAACTGGAAATTTGAAACGGGAACAATCTGACGTATGACTAGGAGATATGCCAATTCACAGGTCCCCACACTTAAAATACAAGTTTGTTTTTTTAGTTACAAATTTTGCATTAGGAGAATTCCATTCCATATGCCAGTCAGAAGCCAGGGACTGTATGTGACAGGGTACTGGGTGCAAGAGTTTTTCTTAGCAAAATACAGTTGTGCTTTTCAATTCTTTGTGTGAAACAAATAAGGGACTTTTATGCATTTCAAGAAAAGATGTAATAGTGCAATACTTCTGAAAGCATTGTCCTCATTAAATAATACATGTTCTTGCCAATGCTTGCTTTCTTATTGCACTCTGAAAGGACTGAACATTCCAAAGCTCATATCAGATTTCTTTCATGACAGAGCTTACAATTATACTGTGTCTTGTAGTAGTGCAGGCTTGGATCCCCAACAGATGTGACTGAAAGAGGTACTCTTGTCCTGGGAGAAGCAAGTCTTTTATTTCATTTGAACACTTAATTGATCAAATTCCTTTTAACAGATTATCTGCCAATCATTTCTGGATGTTTTTGACTCGTATTATTACCAGAGCTTGTCAGTTGTCAAGGTGAGAGACTGCTTGTACTAAATTATTCAACTTGGCGTTACAGGAGTCATGGTTGAATAAGTTGCATTCATGCTCTGTCTGCAGTCTTGAGTTTGTCTACCCAGCAAACGTTTGTTATAGTACATTCCTCATCTGTCCTTGAGTCAAAGTCTTGGCAAATACAGCTGTGTCTTTATTCAATTCAATGAATATGTTTGTTCAACTCTAACTGTTCTTGGAATTCAGAGAAATTGAGAAAAATTAGCCATTCCTTGCTCATTTGAGCCTCATTTATTGGATATTAATTCCATAAAAACAGTCATCATTTTCTTTAGGTTTGTGCGTAAGGAAATTGTAAAGCAGCAAGGCATAGGTTAATTAATTTCTGTTGGTTTGGTTCATATGGGATCCGTGTAGTTGCGGACATGGATCATTAAGCAGATGATCACAGTGTAGGCAGAGGCTCATTCAGTTGTAACTAATTAATGTCTGTTCAGCCTTCATGGACTTTAGTGGGTGTGTGTCTCTTGAATATTTTATGCCTTTGTGCTTTGCATAAAGGAATTATTTGTTGAGTCGTATTTTTCACTGGGTAAGAACTGAGAAAACATGCACTTCAGATACACATGCACAGTGCATAGGAATCCATTGTGTGAATACTGGTTACATGTGAAGTGAATCATTGGGCCTGAACTGTGAAGTCACAAAACACAAGCACCACGGTTTGGATAGATTAGGATTCGGATTAGGATTATTTCTTTTATCATTTGTCCATTTTTTATTCTTAGCAGCAGTGAAGCATTTGATTAGACCATGAGAGTTCACATTTTTGTGAAGGTTGCTGCCTTGTTAGCTCTTCTCTACACCTTTGGTGACGTCTAGCTGACGTTGTCATTGTTCACATTTGCACATATACACGTAAATTAACAAAAAAAGGATGCACAAAAGGCTTACTCATGCCAATCCCAGTGACACCAAACCACCTGCCACTAACTCCACAGGAGTGAATGGATACTGTAGTCCCTACATCCAAAGTCAGGCTGTGGCTCTTTAGAAGTGGAAGGATTGATAAGTAGAGGCATTAGTGCCATCAACTTGATGTTTATGGTGAAACAAATGAAATGCCATGGTCATTTGTATCATGATGTGACTTATAACAGCCGTGCCAGTTATTACACAAGGCTGTACATACAGGTCTGCACACATATCCCATAAATCAAGACAAGTCATAAATGACTCACCATAAGTATCCATGTGAATAAATACAAGCCTTGAACGTTGATTGCTGTACCATTCCACCCTTGGCTGCAAATATGCTTCCTCGTCCTGATCTTAATTAAAGATAAATTCCCCAGATAGCAGGGGTCTACCTATCGTTCAGTTTGTGTTATTAAGGCTTTCCTTGGACTGTTTAAATTTAAAGAAATTAAATTGGATGTGGCGGCATCAGTAATTGGAACTATTTCAATGATAAATCCTGCACACAGTTGTATGCTTAGTTTACCTCGTAATTTAT